CTATTACATAGTCGACTGGCAACTTTCTATATTCTCGACACCAATTAGTTATTAACAAAACCTTCTACAATCATCTGCTCTTAACTCTAATTATAACAAAACTTAAAAATAATAAAATATTCACTCACAAATATAAATTAATCATTAATATTTAAACCAAACAGTATTCTATATCATGACACACATATTTCAAAAAATGGAAGAGGTGGGCAGGGCCACATTTGTTGATTCACTAAATATAACAACATCTCAAAAATATAAAAGATCGGAAGTTCTTATCTTATATTCTAGCTTGTCAATAATGGTAATTTGAGTTTCTAATTCATAAGAAACTATAGACTTTGTATTTGACATACCACGTGACACACAAAAATCGATATTTAGGATTTAAAAAAAAATATTTACCTATAAATTAAGAAATTAACTAATGTATAATACTAAAATTTGAATTATAACCTACAATTTGATTTGATACCAAACTTATTGACATACATTCATAAAATAGTAGTTCAATAAAATTTTGAATGTAAGTCTACAAACATGATTACATGCCCTTTGACCCCTGACCATAGGAAGACCCATCTCAATAGAGTTAAGAGAAAAGGTCTCTATGCATATCAGGTATGAAAATAGAGACCTTCTGGTCCAAGGCCAGAAGGTATTCATATGTAATGCATGAGATGAAATCCAGCAAAGATGGCAGTATAACTAACATGCAGACAACCTCCTGTTAGCAATGAGATAGTGTAGGATGCCAAGTGGTGAAAAAATATATCTGATAAGAACAGTTAAATTAAAATAGTGGTTAGACATATAAAGAAGTGATATAAAAAAGATCCAACTTATATAAAAGAAGGTAAGATAAATAAGAATAAATTGTGGAGTACTGATTCCTTTTTTAATGCAGTTGAAACAAACAGCAGCATGATTACTTGTTTGTTTGTTGAATTTCATTTAAAGCTACTTGAGGCTATCTGCACTAATCTTTCCTTAATTTTGAAGTGATAGACAAAAGGAAAGGCAGCTAGTCAACAACATTCACTGCCAATTCTTGAGATACTTGTCACCATCAAATAGTAGAATGGACTATCATATTTTTATGCCCTCATAACCAAAGGAGTGAGAAAATTTGGTGACAGGTTTCAATCCCACAAATGGTAGAGAAAAAATATAACAACATTCACTGCCAATTCTTGAGATTCTTGTCACCATCAAATAGTAGAATGGACTATCATATTTTTTATGCCCTCATAACCAAAAGAGTGAGAAAGTTTGGTGACAGGTTTCAATCCCACAAATGGTAGAGAAAAAATATAACAACATTCACTGCCAATTCTTGAGATCCTTATCACCATCAAATAGTAGAATGGGCTATCATATTTTTTATGCCCTCATAACCAAAAGAGTGAGAAAGTTTGGTGACAGGTTTCAATCCCACAAATGGTAGAGAAAAAATATAGTCGCATCAATGTTGAAGCAAAAGTAGCAGAATACAAGTGGCAGTGGAAAGGCCTAAATGTACAAGAATTAACTACTGTCCATTCAGAGGTAAAAAAAAAGCCATAAATAGAGGTTTTCTTTATGCAGTAACACTGATGTAATTTGTAGTCTACAATTGAATATTAAGAAATTATAATAATGTACTAAAAATTAGAAGAAATGCATAGTGATTTATTCATTATGACTAAACCTGAATCATATATATATACTATGAAAGTGTCAATTACTGTTCATACATAAAAAAATGTTATGATATTAATTTCCAACTAAAGCACTTGAATTTCACAAGGGGGCAAACTAAAATCTATCTCATCACAAAAAGTCAATAGGTACACATTAATTACCAGAATATTACATCCTACCTTCTGAGAAGAAATCATTGCTTAAAAGCATTTGGTCTAGACGGTATTTGTAAAATATCTTAAATCTACAAAACTTTAAATATTGATGATCAAAAATTAGAATTAATCACATGTATGTCAGAAAATATCAAACATAAAATTTTTTTTCCAAATTTACCATTCATATATTTACATGAAATCACTATAAATGAAACACACAAACATTTCAAGATTTACTAGCCACATAAAAATATTTATGGTAATAGCACAAATTTTTAAATAAAAGCATTAAATTGTTTTCATGTTGAAAATCTCTTTTACAGAACATTATGAAGTGTTTATATGTCTGTAGTACCAGAATGCATTAAACATTGTATTCAATTTTGTATATAACCTTAAGCTTTCATATACACAAGCATCAATATCAAGACATCTCATTCAACTTAAATTAAAAATTAAATACATTGTTCACAAAAGTATTATTAATAAAAAAGACTTAACAAAAATACTGTAATTTATAAAATGGTCAATTTTAAGAGTACTACTTCAATATTTTTTTATTCATATTTTTAATTTATCAGTGTAATCATACTCAACCAGCTGTTATAATATCCACAAAACATAGGGAGGGTATGGGCTATTTCAACTATCTTCAGTTCTTGTTTTTGAAAAAAAATCTTGATTTACTAAAACCACAACTTCTGTTATAAAATTACCTGGTTTGTAATAAATGAAAAAAAAAAAACAGTTATGAAGAATGTATCATCACGTTGCTTTGGAAAACCCAATATTTCAGAAATTATAATCAAGGGTTTGTTTTTGTAACCATTACAAATATTTGTGTTCTGTAGGAATGAAACTGATAAAATGCAATCCACAAATATGGTATTATCATTGAAAGAAAATGCTTGGATAAAAAAAAAGTAAAAAGATTTTAAATTTTCTATTCTTCAAAGAAGTCTACATTAAAAAAATATTGAAATAAAGTCAAAACAGAAGATTAGAATACAGACAATCGAGTTACAAGTTTAAAAAATTTTAAATCTCAAGTTGAATAAACAATGCTCATCAATTTTGAAAATTCCACTACACTATTAAATATAAGAGGTTTTGAAACTAAATTGATTCTTTTTTTTTAAAGAAATACACATTAGACAGGAAAAGGCATTTATTTACCTTCCATTCCTCTACTCTCTGACTAACAGTTGCCATAATTTCATCATCTGTTTCTGCTCTAAGTTCATTCTGTTGACGTAGATCTTCTATCTGTTGGAATAATTTAAACAACCATAGTTTTCACAATAATTTACTACAATTCAGTATTCTATAATCCTACTTCACTTATCACTGAATATCTAAAATATTAGTAGATTATATTTTATCCTTCTGTTGCCATTTAGATTGGCTTGTTGAGTGAAAAGTTTCTGTAAGAGGTAATACTGACTTTTTTTTTTGGAGCTGTTAAAGAAAGTTTATAATAAAAATACCAAAAAAACAATACTAATACATTAGTATTTTCATCTTATTTTACAGATCAAAGAGTAAATAGATGAATACCAGAACAAAGAGTTAATCATTTTACTAATGAAGCAAGAGAATTTTATTGCAATAATAATTATAATCACTATTGTTAGAACTACTTGATACATTAGATATTTATCTGTGTCTTCTGCATCATTTCTTAATTTGTTTTGAATTGATTTCCCTTTAGAATTTACATCTCAGTTATTTCCATTTCCTAAAATATTTTGAATTCAGAAAATTAGTGAAAATAACATAAAGCATAATGTGTTATTCAAAAAATACTAGCACAATGTTCAATCATACCCAGTCTAAGCGTAATTGTTACAGTGCTAACAGAATCATCTGGAAATTAAAAAATAAAATATTCAGAAAAAGAAACACTGTAAAAAACATGTACAGCACTTAATTTGATATTAGTTATTGCTAAGACTAAAGGATGGCAGTATTCAACACTTGATAGTCCAGTTAGTAGGAAAACGGGTTTGCAATTTTACTTTGGCTCAGTTTTTGATATTTCAGAAAATTCCAAAATAGCATAATATTTTTAACTGACTAGTTTTACACAAGTCATGAACTCGTTACTTATAGTAAAATACGATATGAGTGTGTAACTCCAGGCTTACAAACTATATTACCTCTGCTAACAGCATCTCCTTTTCCTTACACTGAGATTCAGTAACTGACTCCAATTGCTGAAGAGATTCCTAAATGAAAATTATGTACAGCATATAAACAATATTCACCCCATTCCAAATTTTAGGTAATTTTTTTTTATATCAATACAAATATCAATACAAACAAAACATTGTGAGTTATCGTTCTCTATATGCAAAGGCCAGAACAAAGGTGTTCTGGTAAAATAAAACATTTCTACATTACAATAAAATTGTCACCATGATCAATTTAATGTTATTTAGAACATTTGAACCCTTACTTCTTAAAACTAGCCACATTTAACAAATTTGAATGAATATTAGTATAATAAACTAGTAAGTTGGTTTGCCATAATCTCTGTGATGCAGCTTTCAGACATAAACATTATTTATATGCACATATATTCCTAGTTTTCCTTTACACATTTATACTCATAAACACATACAACACCCAGTTCTATGATAGCGCTGCAGCTCCTTTTCATTGTAATTATTAAAAAAAGTATGTTATTGGTACAATGCTTAACACAAGAAATTTCAGATGTGATTTTACTTAATTCTATTACAAGTCTAATGCAGCTATCTTGCTATAAGCAGTTGTTTAATACTTCATAAATACATTTGAATATGTGTAAAATCACATTTCACTATTAATCTTTTTTTTTTCAACTAGTGATCAATTGTGGGTAACGCTTCATGCATACTGAGATAAAACAATGTTTTGAGAATAATTAATAATACCTAAATGTGAAAGAGATGTAAAACAAAATAAGAAATCACAATGTTTTTCAGTGACCTGTTAAATGTTTTGATAAACATAATAATAAAAAAATAATAATTTAAATTTTATCATCATTATCTGTGTGTTATTAAAAACAAAGCTAAAGAATGGGTTATTTGTGTTGTTCCCACTACAGGTTTTTAGTATTATAAGCCCTTAAAATTACCACTGAGCAAAAAAAGGGCTTACATATATTTTTCTAGGGTTCAATTTCCTCATGTGTTATTAAAAGGTGTAGTTTTTCCAAAAGTTTCTCCAATCTTCTGGTTCAATCCTGAACCGAAAATATATTTCTCATGGTCAGGCAGACAAGCTGTGAATTATTTTTGTTTCAGATTGCCAAGTCAAATTTGGAAACCTTTTGCTATAAAGTCATAAAATGTTTCAATTCATTAATTTCTTTTCCTTCCCATGTGTAGTTAACTCCTTCAATTATCATTCCAATGAAAGCTTTCGAAAGCAATAAAAAACTGCCTTTGTAGTTAGCTGATTAAGCTTCAGTAATCTCATCTCACTTTGATGTGACCTTTGTAGATGTTTATTCCAGTTTTCATATTTTATTGCACCCAACTATCATTGAACTCATGATATCTGTCAAGGTTAATGGTATTTTATCATTCTACTAAAATGATAAATGATTTAAACATTTACTAAGAGATAGAAAAAAATAATAGGAGCACTTCAAAATTTGTTAACTGAAATACTAACCTGTAGATTAATAAGTATTGTTTTAATGCCATTTAAACGTGGTATGTATTAAAATCAAAAGAAATTTACAGACTGAAGTATCACACTAAAATAACAAGATTTTATTAAACCACAAGTTTTACAGCACTTTAAAAGAGCTGAAATGCTTATGGTTTAATAAAACCTTTATATTTCAATATGGTTTTTCCCCATGTAAGTTTTCTTTTAATGTCAACTACTAATTTTGGGTATATTGGTAAATGAATAGTACTCCTTTTTTAAAAATATGTTATGCTTTTTATATGTTACATAATGTACTTGTTATATGTGTTACTGCAATTCTTTATGAAAGAATTTATATTATATAGGTTCAATAAGCATTGCAAGCTTTAAAAATAATGTTGATATAGCATAGAATATAAAATTTTTTTACAAAAAGATATAATAAGCTACATAACATCATAATGCAGTTTCACTTCTTGGCATTGTACACTATAATGTATTCTTATAACCAATAAATTATGTTTAAGAAGAGTAGAAAAACATTGAAAAATTTCTATATCTCAATAAATGCAACAAAAATGCTACAAAACCTTGGTTTTTATGTAATCATTTGTAGTTTTATCCATCTGCTCCACAGCATCTTCCAACTTGCTTCTCAATTCTGTTACTTGTTGGCATAACTTTTTGTTTGCAAGTTCTAATTCCTGTAGAAAAAAAATCCAATTAAACTAATTTATATTTTGTTTTACTTGTGATGAAAATTATTCTTCAATAAAAACTCACGCACTGCTTAAGAAAAAGTATTAATATTTTCTAACAGCATTTCACTGATGCCACATGAATATAACTTAAACGTCTCAATTCTCTGCTTAATTTTACTTCTTGATAACTCAAGTACACTAAAAACTCCTTGACTAGTCCATAAGAATTACATCTGAGAAAACACTACAATATTACAAATTTAAACAAACAATGATGTTATTAATGCATCAACTTTAAAACATGCATTCACTCATCAAATTTCTGCTAGTCTTTTACTTAAGTAAAATATATGATTATTTTCTATGTTCTCATTTTTTTCAAAGTTGTGGAAAACATTTTCTAGAATCATATGAAACATAAATGCTTTACTACATTTTGTATTTACTGAAAAATGTTTATGTCTGCTTTTTTAACAGTTATTTCCCCAAAAGGGGGTGGAAAGCTACCTAGAGGGATCATTTGTTTTAACCACTTGCACCACAATAAAGTAGTGTGTTGTCTGCCAGTCAGTCAGTAGACACTAAAATGATGTCACATAAGAGACTCTTAACACTGCAATTTCTAATGTTGTGACATTAGTAAAATGTGCCCATGCATTGAATCAAGAGAAGAATTATGCACTCTGTAGGCTACAACACAGCACGACATATGAACTTGAAAAGTAAGAAGTATAAATATATGTTACTCTTAATTTTGGTTTTATTTACTCTTGAAACAGAACAGTTTCTGGGACCCTGTAGAAGTACATCTAGTATCTAATTCATTATTAGTGGATAAAATTTTTGTTTTCAACTTTAAACACTTTAAAACTTTTGAAATGTTGAAACTTATTTCAAGTAATTACAGCATGCATGTATGCAAATCATAAAATTAAAACTAACTTCTGCTAAGTATTGTGAAGTAGTTTGTTATTTCTTATTAATAAATAACAACCAAATGTGGAAATTCAAACCATACATCAAGATTTTTTTATCTAAACATGAACTTTTCATCAAAGAACAAATATGCAACAGGTAATTGAACTCAAGTCCATAATAAAAATGTATATATCAAAATGCTTCTTCACAAAGGCTATATTAAACATATTAACAAATATGTGCATTTAATCTAATTCAAAATTTACCTCATTTTCAACCAATAACTGGTGCAGTTGTTGATTTTTCTCACGCATCTTTGAGGTCTCAGCCAACTGTTTCTTTTCCATACTTAGTACAGACTCAGCTTCTAAAGACTCAAGTTGGCATTGGTAAGAACCAAGTTCCTCTTTCAATTGGATTATCTTCAATAAATTAGTTTACAGAAAGGAAAAATACGAGTTAAGAAAATTAGATATTATAAAGAAATTCATAAGAATATTTTTGTAATTTGTTTACATAAAATGAAATATTGAAATTACTTTCAAATAATTACAGAATGCATGATTTAGTTATCTCTGTTGATGGTTTCAGTGTTAACTAAGTGCCAATGGTAAAATAAGTTAACTTTCAGGAAAAGTTTGTTTACTGATTTACTTGGAATGTATAAAAAATAATGAAATTTCCTCTTGCTCTTTTGAAACATTTACTGTGCTGTTTGATACATTAAAGTTTTTTGAGAAAGTACCTTAACTAACTAGGTCTCACCAAACCATACAAAAACAGGATTGCATTTTACCACAGATCACTAACAAAGGCTTCTCCAATGCATCTTTTGCACTATTTTCCTCTAAAAAGCAACATTTTGTTAAAGGATGGAAACTGAATGTAGTAACTGAAAGCCATCATCAATTTTTAAATGTTGTTCACAAAAAGTGCACAAGGATGTTTCCATCAGTGTGAATGCTACATCAACACAAGTTCAAAAACTTCAAGTCTCTAAAGTTAACTTATATGTGGTTTTTAATTATATCGAACTTATAATCAGTATTTACAGAAATAAAAAATATTTCATTTCAAATATGCTTTACTATAGTTTAACAACTGTTTTTATTTTAGAAAGATTACTTAAATTCAGAGGTTTGTTTTAGAAATTTGTATAAGCATATACAATTAAATGGTGATATCATATTCAACTAATAAATATTTTATGTAGAAATCACATAAAATCAATATACACAAATTATTTATGTTTAACAATTAGTTCATGAACAAACAAACACACAACATAACTTAATATAGGTTACTGTTTGACTTTTGAGGTATCTATGCTTTAAGTGCAGTGATAAAAAATGTTCAGCTCATTGAGAAAGAGCTACAGAATTTGACTTCAGTACATTAACTGCTAAATTTTTTATAGCATCTTAAAGAAGCTACAGTCAGTGAAAAAGAAAAAGTAAAGCTAAAAGAAGAGGTATGTAGCATGTATATTCTATAATTCCATTACCATATTAATAGGATGAAATCCTACAGTTATAGAGCTAGCATGATCAAACTTGGCAGGTGACTCAGGGTGACCCTGGGGAATATCCTTATGTATGTGGCTAAGGTCACACTACTAAGGGAATCTAAAATATGCCTGGAAGGCCATCCAAGCATAATGTAGGTCTAGGAGTTGCTGAGTTTGGCATCACATTTTGTGTCCCTAGACCCCTTCAGGGTCCCAGGAATGTGTTGTTTCAAACTGTTTTCATAATTCCACTCACAAGCTTGCAAAACCAAATGTATCACATATGCTCAGGTACCACAGATGAGTGTCCTACTGGGGTTTATTTTCAGGTACTAACACTCTCTTGGGGTAGTTATAGAAGCAGCTGGGGATAATGGAGGAGCCTGATCAGTATATTGAGGCCTCTGTAAATTATGGGGGAGGCTGTTTGAGCCCAGCAGAAAAGTACAGGTATTTTATGCTAGTGCAATATCATGATAAGAATTAAAAGAAAGATATATGAATTCTGTATTTCAATGATAATAGTACTAATTTAATGGACAAATCATGTAGATTAGCTGTCAAATTACTAAATTTAACTTTAATCAGTTAGCTAAAAGTAAGAGTTAATCTTATATTTTAAGTCAGTCTGTAGCAAGTAAGACTAAATATACATCCCTGAGTGCTTGCAAAGTTTGTTGAGGTTTCTGTACAACTACACTGACAAAAATATTTATTTTTCAAAAGGCCTATTACAAAATTTACCTTTTAAAACTCATTTTAGTTTAGCAGTTAACACTTTCATCAATTTTTTCCCGCAAAGTTATAAAAACTATGCATAAACAACAAAATGATTTATCTCCTTAAATACTATGCTTTTGGAAGTCATTGAAACAATTTAAAACAAATATAAGTCCTCCGCAGTAGTTGAATATGCACTTTCAGATATAATTTAAGATGAAATTCATGCAAATTTCTGCCATATCAAAAGTGTTACAGTTTTAAATGAATAATGCACAGTATCTACTCAGTTACTGTTACTCTGAAGCATATCATCATTTCCATTCTTTGACAATGAATTAAATACCAGCATATATATATATATATATCCTAAACATTTATAATGTAAGACATTTAGAGATGGAATAATCTTTCTTAAATGTATATGACTAAAATATAATATTGTGACAGTTTACGATCTACTTCAACACAGATGTATATAATTCATGATTGCCGATATAACACTTGTAAATGATCTTTTCTTATTTCTCTAGATGTAGATAAAACCTTAAATCTATGGCATTAGGTGTTACAACAACAAATGACATGGAATATAAAATTCTAAATAACAAGTAAGCCTGTTGTTACACTACAACTCTGATCTTTAGAAACAAAAATACACATTAGTTCAATGTAACAGAACATATAATTAGTATAATTATATAATTAAAAGAGTTGGCATTCAGTATTTTGAATAATGCAATGAGGATGTACTGAAAATAATGTGTTGTTATTTGAAAACAATAAGATTGGATCATAAAATACCTTTTCAGAGAGATCCTTTTCATTTTCAAGTTCTTTTTCTTTTATTTGAAGTTGTTCTTGCAGCAATTCCACATGATTCTCCAATTCTAAAAGTTCTCTTTTAAGTTGAGCTGAATCTCCTTGTTGACCATTAATACGCTTTTGAACAAAAAATAATTTATCAAAGTAAAGAACAATGTTTAATTTGAAAAAGTGTTTACTGTGATGGAATTTCAATGAATTAAGTATAAGGCGTTAAAGCTGTTCTAGAAAGAAGAAAAAAAAACACTCATAAAAGTATATATGTATATATGTATATGTGTGTGTGTGTGTGTATGTGTTCAGTAAGCTTGTGCTGGGTTATTAAAAGTTAATTCACCTATTCTAACATCTACAACTCAAAACCTAGCCACCAAAGACTGACAGTATATAGCAGTTGAGCAAATGACACAATACCAATAGTGATTCCAGTGCCAAATTTTAACTACCGCTCTATGTATGGCCAAAACACTGGAGGTAAGAAACAGACATTCTCTTCCCTTATCAACTATGTTTATTCAGATTTATTTTCTTTTTTAGTTTAAAAATTAACATTTACTTGTTCACATAGTTTTCAAACATTTCCATACTGAGTGCATTAGCACTTGTGTTCACATGCAATGTGAAGAAAACTCTTAAACTGAGTTGACTTCATTATTGCATTATTCACACAATGTTAGAGGTAATTTCCCTTTAGCACTTCTACATGTTTGTGGTGTTAAAGACCTCCTTTAGGTTTGTCTTAATGGATTTTATGGTTTCATCAGTTATGTGAAATTGTAGAAATAGAAGAGAATTAGCCAGAGTTTAAATATTATTCTTTTGACAGGGTTAATTCAGTAAGAGTGCAACTGCTTTTCATCCAGTGTACACATCCACCAGTGATCATCTTGTCCTGGCACCAAACGTTTTTGCTTTTTTGAAGTTTTACTGTGCATTCTCTTTCTATGATTACATTGCTAAAAACCAGCAAGTGAGAGTGGCTGTGGTAATCAATTCACATACAATGTACATAAAAATTTGTATAATTAGTAACAATTATCTAATCAATGTTGGTGTTACTTACCTTTGTAAACACAGTTTACTGTACTTTGTGTTATCTTACTAAAACATGAAGCATGTATACATTTTGGATATCTGTAGAGCAAGGAACAGTTGAATTAAAACAGAATTTAACAGTCAGATGTAAATGCATAAAAATGCTGTTAACACGTACAGAAGAGTATATACGAGTTTAAACATTTTTTTTTTACAACCAATATAATGAAGTAAGATACTACTAGTAATTCTTTATAAGTTGTGATTTGCATAAATTACATTCTGTAATCTTTACTTAAAATTTATAAACATATTTTGAAGAAAACTTAAACTGACATGGAACTTTTACTTGACATAAATAGGAACTTAGATGAACAATTTCATCATAATATTATCTTTAAGGAGAGTACAACTGCAAAATGTAAATTTATTTTTGTAAGTTGAGAAAATATCAGTAAAGATTATGATAAACAGAGTAGGTATGCAAAATTATAAAATTTTTTTAATTCTTAGTAAATATTCATTTTGCTAACCTTAAATGTTCTTAATTCACGTTGGAGCTCATCAACTTGGTTTTGTAGCTGTTCCTCTCTCTGAGCTATTTTGATGCCTTTGCTTTCGGCTATTTCCTCAAGTTCTGCTAGAGCAACATCTGCCATGGTCCCTTTGTACTAGACATTGAAAAATATATCATTACTGTCAGCCCAGTCATTCTGACTTTTACAAGTCTAGATGTAAAAATAATAAAAGGGAAAAGCAATATTTTTAAGGAAAACAAAAACATTCCTTACAATTGTCCAACTACAAGTAAAAATGTTATTTTAGTAACAGTACTTTTCCATACCAAGTTTCACGTGAAGAAAAAAAAAATTACATTTCTCTTTCATAATTAAAAACAATGAAGTATAAATGTTTCCCGTATCTTCTATATGAATAAAAAGTTAAACATAAAAGTGTCCATACAAGATGAATTAGAAGTCTATGCCTATAGCAGTTATTTTGGTGTAAAGTTCATAGTTTAGAGAAAAACTATTAATCACCAAGAGTGTTTGAATATTAGCAATCCTCCTTCACCCCGCTCAAGGTTAAAGATTAGAAGTTCATAAAGTGGTCATTGTTCTAACGGGCCAGGTGGGAAAAGGAATGAATTAAAAAACATTATATATATATATATCCACACACACACATACATTTATATACATATATACACACACACACACACACATATACATATATACACACATGCACTGGCGGTAATATTGAGGCAATAGGGTAGAAGTGAAGGCGAATGGGTAGTAAAGGCAGGTTGTTACTGCAGAAGAAACAAGTCGAGAACGATTGTTGACAAAGATTTGAAACAAGCCAAAGCAAATGGGCCTTTACAGGGCCTGGCTGGAATCAGTGGACCCAAATGCCATGGCTGGGATCTATAGATCCAATGCCTAAGAGTAGCGGTGTGGGTGGAAACGGGAGTGCTCCAAGAAAACCCTCTTTCACTAGCCGGGACCCTAAAAAGACCAGCTAGTGATGACTTAGAAGATATTTAATCTGTGAATAAATACTCCATAAATCTGATTTTTTTCTTGATAAAATGAAATTAAACATAAAAGTTCTGATTTTATGAAAAATTATAATCAAGAGAAACTAATCTTATTATGTGAAATCATGGTTTAACAAGACTCTTCTAATGGCAACGCTATAATGAAGAATCAATCTTATCACGAGAAAACATGGTTTACCATGACTTTAAGACTATCATTCAAGGAAATGAGAATTTGATTATTTATATCATAAGCATAAGAGGTGTGGTCCATATAAAATAATGATAATGTAAGCCTTTTTTCACAACCATTGTAAAATTATGAATACTAGAGACAATTAGTGTACATCTGATGCTATTAACTTCATTCCAGACATCACATGTCCACTAAGGGTGGAAACATAGGAGGGACATCATAAATTTAATGAAGGGGTCCCTGGTGTAGAGTGGCTAGGGCACAGAGAACAGTAAGGGGGAATTCAACCTTAACTAACACCAACAGAAGTGTGATAGGAATATCTGGTCCTTGGTAGGAATAGGGTCCTCTACTTTCAGCTTGGACATGGGAACTGGAAGGGAAGAAGATCATGTGTGCATGTCCAACATAACCAACACCAGTACCCCCCAGCAACTGACATCAGGACGATGGTAGGAAGGCAGACAGCAATGTGGTAGTTCAACTCCAGTGCAGAACCAAGCAACATTTGGAATTAATAGTCCAGTTCATGGTAAAATGAAGGTACTTGGACCACTGACATCTGAGGACTTTGTGGCTAGTCCAGTTCCAACCAACACCAGTACCCTACAGGAACTAACATCCGAACGACAGTAGGAAGGAGAGTGCCCAACTGGAGGGGTAAACTGCATTTTGGAGAGAATCATCTAATCCATAACCAAGCGGTATCTGGAATAATTCATCAGGTCCATGGTAGGACAAGTGGCTATACACCATCATCACCAGAAGAACATCGCTGCCCTACTCTCAACTGAGTGGAAATTAACACACTCAGGAGGAAGCCTCCATGGTTCACCACCCCAGTGGCTAGGAGCTGGTAAGTGGTAAAGAGTCCTGTACTCTACTGGAATGAGGGGGGGAAGTAATACGTTGGAGAGTCTGGAGGAATGCAGCATCGGAGAGAGGGCAATGGGTGACAGTGAAACCCTATTTTGAAAAGCAGTCTGTTCTTGATTCAATCAAACAAAAGAGCAGCAGGGATGGGCAGCAAAGTGGTCTTGCAGAACACCCATTTCTATAGTGGGCATTACTGACCTGAATGGTCGTACAGTGAGGGTTTAAAAAATAAGTATACCTTGTCAGGCAACACTCACCACTGAGCAGGATCCATGTATGCAAGAAATGCACGTCAAGAAGAAAATACGAAAAATAACACCTGCCCACCCATAGAGAAACCATGGAGATCATGGTGGCAATGGAAGGTAGACAGTAACTTGCAGAACAGGAAATGGCCATACAATGAAGAAAATGTCAAATAAATGTATGGGGAGTATTCCACATGCTAGCAAAAGCTATACCCTCCAATGTACAATAGAATTGAGCAGCCAGGGGGATGTTAAGGTGATGGATTGGATGGGAGGAGACTTGAAAAGATGACCATCATTGGGAGACAGAGAAAAATAAGCCAGGTGAATAAGCTGGCAAATCTAACCCATAAGTGTATCAGGAGATGTATTACAGGAAAGGAAATGGTACCACTGAGCAAATGGGAACCACAGAAGGGAGCAGTGCTAGCCATGTAACAGTGAAAACAGGATCTAAGAGAACCTAACAGAAAGTGGCTGACAAGGCTATGTCGATAAACAGCAATTGTGGATACCCAAAGCCCTTTGTTGAAAAACCAGATAAGAAAGGAAGGCAAGTGCGAGATGGAGGAAAGCCAAGACGAGAATACCAATGATGGCAGACATACCACTTATACTGGTAAACTGAAACAGAGGAAGGGTGAACAGAATAGAAATCAGGAAAGCAAACCTGAAGGTGGAAAGAAAGAGACCTCAACAGAGTGCCCCCTTGCTGAGTGATGTATCAAAGACAAATGCTGAGTAGTCAGAATGGATCATAACCAACTAGTTCCAGAGAGATGAAAGGAAGTGAACAAAGCCTGATGGATAGTGAGAAATTCCAATAGATTGATATGCAGAGATGACTCTGCAATAAACCAATGTCCCAAAATTTCCTGCATGTTCAGATACGCACCCCAACCTGAATGAGAAGTATCCGTGAAGATGTGAACCTCCAGATGAGGAGGAGAAAGAGGAACACCAGCTGTGGTGTTGTCTCTATTCAACTACCAGGTGAAGTCCACAAGAAGGGAAGGACAGAGATGGATAGAAGCATCCAAGGAATCCCAAACGAGGTTTCACTGATCTTATAAAGCCCATTGAAGAAATTGCATGTGGGCTTGACCAAGGTGAAGGAGGGCCTCCAAAGATGCCTACATCCCCTAAAGAAATAGAACCTCCTGTAAGGTTGGAGAAGGAGAGGAGGAAATGGTCCAAACCAGAATCTCGATATGTCACCAGTGAAGAGGAGAAGGGAAGGCTTAGCTGAGATGGGAATTGAAAAATACCCAGAGGTGAACAAGCTATTGAGTTGGGAGATGGGAGTGTGGAGGTATGCATCTACGACATCCAACTGCATACAACAAAGACAAGGAGTGAAAGCCCAGCAAAAAGATAAGTAGGACTCCATGGTGAATCCAGGAAGGTTTAGGAAGCAGTTCAAGGAAGAGAGGTCAAGGATTGGTACCAGTCCCCAAACTTCGTGGGGGCTACAAACAAATGGGAATAGCAACCATGCTGCAAAGGATCCCCTGTTTATAGCACCCTTGTGAAGAATATCAAGAACCACCTCAGAAAAATGCTGGATGGAAAGGGGATCTCGAGAAGGGGGGGATGAGGGGACAGGGAGGAGGGGAACTGAAATGAAACATGAGCCCTTCAGAAATAACCCTCAGAACCTAAGGGTGTGTGGTGAAGGAATCACAAACTATGGTAAAGCACAACAGCATGGCCTCCACTGGCCCTTCCCCCCCAACACACACATAGTCACCAAGATTACTGGGGGGTGTCAAAGTCATTGATGAACAAACTGGCAGTTAAACTCAGACCCATGTAGCAAGCACTGGTAAGGGAGAGGAATGAGACCTGTGAACTGGTTCAGAGGAAGGTTGAGACAAACAGGAAGCCAATGAGGAAAGGAAACAAAGGAAGGAAGATAAGGTGATGAAGATATAGGAAAATGTTACCAAAGTATTGGGATCTGAACCCCACAGAGGCCTAAGAAAATCTAATAGCTGGGAGTCCAAAAAACAACACAGACGTATGGGATGCCATATGATGTGAGGGTTGAGGCATACTGGTTCCTAAATGTAATTGATCCACAAACCTATTGGCATGAACCCCAATATCCAGCAAAGGGGAGGAAAACAAGATATTGGCTCAAAGGTGTCTTACTCAGAAGGGAAGAGGAAGACAGAGACAAAATGTAACAAACCTGGTTTATTAGCTCCAGAAAAGGAGGAGGAGGCCTGGGTGCCACCACTGCAGCTAAACATGACCATTTGACACAGGAAGGAGAAGGAAACTGACTGTCAAAATTCACTTTCTCATGTTCAGGTACCCCTGAACAAGGCATGAGAAGAGAAACCGCAAGCGAATCAGAAGTCCACATGAAGTTAGCCAACTCCCGGTGAACCAGGGCTGTAACATCTCCCACCAACAATTGTGGATACAAAGCCATGGTATTCAATTTTTTCTTTTAGTAAGAGTAACCACAGGAGGAACAGCAATGGTAGTAATTGTAATGTGAAACTCAGAACCCATTTCAATGAAGAGTGGAAGTAGAAAAGTCCAAACAGGAAGCTCCAAAAAATTGTGTATTGAAACAAAAGACAAGTAATGCTAATGTGTACTAACCAAAATTTCAGAACAAAAGCATGGAATATGTAAATAAAACTTAAGTTCCCGTAAAAAAAACACAAGTAACTGATTAAAAATTCCGTAAAGTGCAAGAATGAAAAACATGACTTAACACCACGAGTGCTAATTGAGAAGTGATTTTGGGCTAACCTGCATAGAGGGAATCAGCTGTGCTGGGAGTTGTGTTGTGCTTCTATTGGTGGAGAGTTGTTGCATGCTCATTTGCATGCTATCATGCAGATGCCTCATGTGAAAACATGTGAGGGTAGGTGGGAATATCAAGGGTAGTGGCGAGGAAAAATTTATGCATATAAAGGGCAGTACAAGTCAGGAAAAGCTATTCTGTTAGCAGAAGTAGGATACCTTATTGAAAATTGCAATTTTCAGTAGTGGCAGTATAGAATTTGTTATCCAATGTGAATAAATATCTTTCATATATCAGAAACAAAAAGCTTTTGAACCAGGCTGGACCAGACTTGTTTAGGAAAATAAAGACAAATATAGTTTAATGTGTCTTTTATGGCTTTCTATTAAAGAAACATTATTAAAACAGCCAAACTGTTTTTACTGGCATAAAATATTTCTTATAAGTTTACAGCCTTACTATTATGATACAGCACTACTGGTCACAGTGACCATTTACTAAATATTTTACTAGTCACCATATAAAACAAAACAGTGACACCTGTTTACTAATAAACCATTAAGCATACATGTATTTAAAAGAGGAAAAAATCCTTTAAAGTAGCAGCATTTTTAATTAACCACCTGTTTACGGTTTCTGTCAAATTGACCAACCCTCTATCTGTGAAGCTATACTCACTAATGTTTATTATAATTTTGAATTTATGATGTGTCTTAAGAAAATTAGGCAAGCTTTTAGTAAATATTACAAGTCTATTGTACATAAAAATCAATTTGTTTAATAAAGTATTTTTACTAAAGATTTGTCTATCAGTTTCTGAAGCTTCTACTGAGTCATTCTGAGTGAAAGATGATTTTTATGCTAAGAATAAAAATACTTCTCTTTCATCTTGTAGTTTTCATATTTCATTTACATAATCTCTAGATCTTACTAATGAATATCAAAACTTTTTTACATCTATCTTTTCCCAATTCTATGGTTTTATTGCTGTAATCCTCATGTCAAAAGCAATAAATCACAGTAGGAGCCCATGAAATGCTTTCAGTAAAGTTGAGTGTCATGTTTCACAAAGCATTCCAGCTCATGAAATTTTAGACATTATATTTTACCGAAGTTTTGTTAGCTCAGCTGAGAAGTTTCAAAATTTCATATTTTAGTTATTATCGTTAGAAAGTATATAACAATCAATAAAATATAAAGATAAATATTTGTAGTACTTACTGTGTACTTGAGATATTTTGCACTCAAGTAAAATTGCATACATTCTTCCATAACCTTTATTCGGCCTCACAAGTTTGGGTGTCCAAAATTCATGTAGCTTTCAAATATGTATTTTAGAAAACAAAAGATCTATTACTCACTAGAATAGAATGTCCCAAGATTACCATAATTTATTTGGCTTTCTAGGTAAGCTATAAACGGTTTAAAAAATTCCTTTAGCATTTGGAGTACCAAAATATGATCACCACATACCAAGCAATTCTGCTGATTAACAGTTTATGGTGAAAAATTAAGTGACTTGTAAGATTTATGTAGGGCAGTATCTACTCTTTCTATTGGTTATACACATGACCTTATGGCACCCAGATTGGTTATCAGAGAGAAGTAACATCAGCCTTGTCTCATTTCTTTACAAAAATAAAACTAGTGGGTGAAATTGTTTGAAACTTGACAAAAATGTTTCTAAAAGTATATTGTTTCAGAAAATATTAAAATTAAATATTATTTTTTTTACCATTTCTAATAAAAATTCATTATTTCACGTAGTTATTTGCACTCGGACTCTGAATAGTTCACCTGCAAGGTGATTTTTAAATAAAATGTAAAAATACTATTTTTAATCTTACAGTTTTCACATTTTATTAGCATAATCTCTAGAACCTCATATATGAATATCAAAAGATTTTTAATTCAAGTAAGTGTTTATATTTTATTTTCCATTTTCTATACTATATCACTAAGTATCTATTCTCATCAACATACAGTACAATGAAATGTTTAACATTAACAAATGAGAATATATATATATACCTTTCAACTCTTCATAGAAATCCCCTAGAAATAGTCTTGTTTTTCTTATATGCATAATTTCATGTCTTTATCTTTTCACTTACACTTTATTTTCAATTTTTAGTTCTCTTTTCAAATTCTTTGTCTTTTGTCATTTATGCCATGGGGCTTTATCATGTTATTTCAGTAGACTCCCAACAGAGAGAAGCATTGGCTGAACAAGATGGCACTTATACATGCCGTCAAGGGTTGGAAAATTTATATTTGTTTCCCAGAGAATGCAGTTGCAGATTTTGTATCTCATGTGTCAAACACATGTACATTAGCATCTAGATACTAATGTACATTTCCAGCTTATGTGGCTAAGATTGAACCACTGCTAACGTTGAGATTTTTCATAGCATGTGGATCACGTGACATGAAAACTGCAGTTTAAGTATTTTTTAAAACATTTCTTTTGAAACAATGGGATTGAAACTTAAATAACACAAAAATTCAAATTATAGCATACATCATAATGTTAATTTAATTGATATATATTGATAGTAAAGTGGTTTAATTAAATTTGGAATGTAACACAGTACAATATGCAGAGAGGAATTTAAAAATGGTGCTGGGCACCATAGGAATAAAGTAGATCAGAGAGAGAGAAAGGAGGCTTCTCTAGTGGATTTGACAAATTTATTGATATCTCAGCAAATCAAGAAAGTAGGAAGTTCAAGTTATAGATTCTTGCTTGCAATTATGTATAATTTGTGTTTTTAATTGGTTAGAAACTGTAGCAGCCTATTTTTGAAGTAGAGAAATTATAACTCAGACAAAATACCACAAAGTAAAATGAAGATTGAAATTTTTCTAAATATCTATTTTTCAGATTAAGATTGACTTAATATGCTCTCAATTAGCATTTGAAACAGTCTCTGACTGGTGTTTACTGGTTAGTAGAAACACTGGCTTATTTTTCTGTAACATGAATGCTTCTTAGCACTGGTATCAACATGGGTGAAGTTTATATTATTTGAAAATTAACCTCATTTTCTTATAACTTTCATTTATGAGTCATCAATAAAACATGTGCTCAGTCATTCTCTTACTAGACCATACATATTTATACAATTTGTTACTCCTAATGATTCACACAATACACTGCTAAAACCCTACACCTTTTACAAACATGTTTATCAAAAAACTTGAAAGATTTTGCATTCTGCAATTCAAATAATTCCAAAGGTTATCAGCTTGACTTAAGTGAAAGAACATAAATATATATTTAAAATCTCAATATATGGCACATAGATTTAAGTAAATAAAAATGTGTGTTTTTTTTTTACATAAGTAGCAATAAACATAGGGTTTACCTTCAGAATACTTCTAGTAACTAGAAACAGTGTATACAGTTTCAAAGCATCAACATTCCCTCCAGGATCGAACTAAAATCATAAAAAAAAGGCTTGTAACTTTTCATAATAACTCGTAATATTTTTTTGTTTGATACAATTTATCCTTTAATAATTCATACTTATTCACTGATAAAGTATTTGAAACTGTCTAATTTTAACAATTTTCATTACTACTTTCATTAATTTAGAATTTTCTAACCTTTTCAAGTGAATGAAAAATCTGTAAACAAAACTGAAAATTGCAATGGTTTTGAACCTATCTTTAACACCAATTTTTAAACTTCTTCAGAATAAAATATATTTATGATAACCAAATACTACTGCTAAACTAGAAAATTCTTATACTACAGTGTTTAAAACATTGGTCAGTTTAAACAATTTAAAAACCAAATCTGCAAATAAAGCAAATGAAGTTAAGAATTTCACTAATCAGTAATTTTCAAATGGAAATGTCAATTGAAATGTTCTAGAGAAATCAGTTATAACAGAAATACAGTTAAAAGTGAATTAAAAAAACCACTAAAACTTTTATGTATTGACCCTATAAATATAAAGAGTACAACATGAAAATATCTAATCAACATACTGATTATCATATGATGGTGCACATGTTGTAAAAATGAAGGACAGTATCATGATCATAGAATATGAAGTTACAAGTCATAAAACAGTTTCTTTTCAATATATATATTGAAGTCAAGTAGACCAAACAGGCTCAACAGTGTAAACTAGTGGTTTCAAACCTTTTCCACTTTACAAACAGGCAAAACCTTTGTAAATGACTTACTGACTATTATTAGCATTTAAGCCTACAGTGTTGTTTCCTAATTTAGCTTCTTTGTGAAACTGTGAAGTGAAAGATATAAGACTCACTTATTTTACAATGAGGTAAGAAGGAGAGAACACTTTTCACCCATTCTTAACATGTGTACAAGTTATAAATTTCACAACATTTTTTCTCTTTATCTTTTCCAGTGAACCAGTGAGTGAGAATCAGTGGTGTAAACAAAAATAGTGAAGTAGTATTTTAGTCATTTTTTGAAAGAGTAACTTAAAATCCATAAACACTATAAAGAAGTGTGTACTATTAAAGGTATTTAGATTCAATTTTTTAGTTTTTTTAATAATTTAATATTTTTTGTTTATTTCTAGATTACTTAAATTTCACACCTGTGCCACTGTTCAGACACCCAAAAAAATCTGAATAGCTTGGTTGCTGATGGTAATATTTCCATTAACAAAATCACTAATCTTTGTGCATGTTGTATTTATATAAAATGTTGCACACATTCATAAATACTCAATAATTTACTACAATATTTAATACTTTAAGAAATAACTTATTTTATGAAAAATGAGTGCTTCAATGTAAAAAAAAAAAGATAGATAGAACATATCATACATTTAGTCAATTCTTAAGCTTACCACATATATTGCAGATCACACAAATGTACAAGTATTGACATGAAACCAAGTTAACTGTGAACTTAGTGCACAAAACAATACCTCAGGGGTCAATTCTTGGGGCTTTGCTCTTTATTTACATTCATAATATTGATAGGGGCTTAAAAGTAAATTACTAAAGTTTGATGATGAAATTTAATTCTTGAATAATTCTATCTGTATAATGTATATTGAGGTATTTCATAATGACTTAAATCACTTGGTAGGTTAGACAAATATTTGGCAAATAGCCATTGATTAAAGTAAGTGGATTTAGGATATCATAATTTGGATCCCAATTTTAATTTGGATAAGGACCAACAGAAGAAAAGAACTTGCCTTGGAAATAATGTATGTGTTCAGATGTTTTCATTAGAATTCATTTAGGAACAACACAAAAGGGAACATAAGCAATAACTTGATAGGCAGGAGCAAATCTGCATAGATATCTCTTTCTTTTTAAACTATTTAATTTATCGAATAAAGGGCATTACATGAAAAAAATCACAATAACAAACAATCCACATTATGTAAATGAACATGAAAGAAGTTTTTCTTAAGATGGTTTACTAAAACAGACCAGAGAGTGGATTATTCTGCAAAACTGAAACACACTTGGAGGCCTCAATGGAGACAGTGAACACTACATTTTACAATAATATTATCATATATAACTCATGCATGTAACTAAGAAATATGACATGGGAATGCCTTACAATGTACAAGTGGTTTCACCATGAAAATGCCAAAATTATCTAATTGTCCATGCAATTAAAGAAAAGAACTGTTTTACTGGAGATGGCACATTATTAGGCATTATCAGTACCCCTAGAAATCCTACTAGTAACATAATTAATGCAACAAAGTACTTGATAATTTCCATTGCAAAACTATAATCATTGAAAATGTTTAAAAGGAGGCAGGTTGCTAAGTAAAGATTATTAGATGTGTATGCTTGGGTTACAATATGCAATTAACACAACATACAGGTGAAAAAATGTGTTCACTCAAGATTCGATTATTGTAGACAGATCTTGTTTTAAAAATTGTACTGGGTCATTAAATCAATACTGTAAGGAAAATGACTGTCTGTCTCCATGTTTACTGGTTAATTTCACACACACTGGCCAACTATTCTAGGCTTGGAATGATTCCCTATAAATTGGCCTGAAGTATTTCTCATTACCATGTCAACACTGCCAAACAGATCTGTACAAAATGTCTATACTTCTTTAAGTAAACCAAAGAATACAGAATAAGTACAGTCACAATAAACAGAATTAATGATTACATTTAAGATAAAATATTAGTTTGACAAACTCCCACTCATAATACTAACTTTACCTCAATCAATTCATCATATATTTTGTCATACTCATCTTCAACATCTTTGTCTCCTATGGCATTTACAGGTATTTTCAAGATTGTTTCCAAGTCTATAGGAGCCATTTTCTGTAAGTGATCTCTGGGCCTTTCTGAAGAAAATGAAAAAGGTATCACATGGCTAAAAGAAAATCATTGCATGTTATATAAAAAAACAGATCTAAATGTCAACTTTTACCACACCTGCACATAAATACATATTATTTAATTGTTATATTTGAAATTCCAAAATGATTAATTTAATTATTTATATTCATTTCATTAACCAGTGTGTTACTTATAAAAACACACAAATATATCAAAGTTTTTTCTAGTCACAAAGGTAGATAATGTAAATGAAAAGTAAACACATTAACAGTAAATAAAACACTGCTCTTACAGTTTCCATTATATTTTTGAAACTGGCTTTGAGAACCTATAATTTCAATTTCACAAGGATCAACTTGTACCTTTATCATTCCTTCATTACCAGTACTACAACTATATTGTCATTATGAGCTCCATGAACATTATCAATCTATTATATGTTACATTTATCACATTTACAGCATTTATTTGCCATATATATTATTATTTACTATTATGCTAGTAGAAGTATTTCACACTATTTTACTTTAAGAGGCTGTTATATTAAACATTTAAGTAAATACTTCTGATCCAATAACCCTGTATCTTATGCTAAACTGTGAAACTTCAAATGAAAGAGTTGGTAGGACTAAGTTGTCTGTTTATCTCTAATAAATAACCAAATTGATATTTCAAACAAGTTTGTCTATCATCTGTAAGTTCCTAAAGAATCCAGTTGAAAGTCTAATACTTAAAAGTACTGTACATCACTATATACCATAAAACTTTTGTAGGCATATTTAAACTGAATTATTTTTACATGCAACATTACTAAATTCTGTTCAATGAGCTATTTTTCAATGGTAATCTTGAGCTCGCACTAACGATTTTAGATAATATGGTTCTGCATACAAAAATTATGAATTATGTTTTTGTTTATCAAACACTTTTTAATTATGAAACTAGTTAGTCAGCCTAGTAACTTTAATTTTGTTTTTATGAGCTTCCTGTTTACTATAAAGTTTCCAATGTTAAAATTAAAGAGGCCAACATCCGCAGCCAAATGCAACATGTCTCCACCATGCAATCCCAATATAGCTAATTATGACACCAGAAAAACTGTGAAAAATAAAGAAAAACTGAAAACTGTCTATATCACTGCTTGCAACCTGCAAGAAGGTATCTTTGGACCATATCATCCCATGGTCAAAACAAGGCTAAGAAATTGATCAAAACCCCTAATATTATGGGTTTATTTAACTTTTTGAACCACCCTACAATGATCAAAAATGGGCAAATCTCACATTTTTGTATGTATGATACTTGTAAAAAAGTATCTTTGCAACAAATCCAATGTAAATTGGCCAAAGTATGGCAGAGTAATTGTCATATAATACCCAAAATTATGCTTTTTGTGGCATCTTCACCCCTATAATTACTAAAAATGGGCAAGTCCATCAGTTTTGTTTGTCAATGTGTGGCATCTGTAGAAAATTATCTTTGTAGCAGATCCAATGTAGATTAGTCAAAATAAGGCAGAGTAATTGACCAAAACCCCCCAAAATTATGCTTTATTGTGAGCTCTGATCTTCTAAAAGAACTCAAAATGAGCAAATCCAAGTTTTTTGTACGTCAATGTGTTTGGCACATGAAAATTTTTATTTGTGCCACTTTTCATCTTGACTGCTGTAAATATGACCACATAGCAGCCAAAAATATACATTTTTGGGTTCTTTGACCTTTGACCCTATAAAATCCTTAAAAATAATTAAATCAAACAATAAAAAGGTGTCTGGGCATACTGGACCAAGGTACAACCTTACCAAGTTGCAAGTCAATCTGCCAAGAAATGAAGGAATGGAAGTTAATCAAAAAGTGTTTGTAAAATAGTATGACTCTCTGCAGAGATATAATACTAGTCATTTAAATAAAATATATATGATTCCTTAATAACTACATTTTGATTTTATTAGTACATAAAACCTGAATGCCATTTGTGTTTTTACTCACACACAAGTACTCAGAGCTACTTCTCATGTCATTATCTTATCCCAGACAAATAGAACTAACAGTAAAAAGGAAACATTCTCTTCCTTCTCAATGTTGCACTATGCACTAAAAATTAAGAAATGTTGAATAAATACATTATGTTTGTGAACTTTCATATGGTATTTTTTTGTGGTTTTCTACATTCCTGTATCTTTTCTATGTTTTTTTTTCCCAATGACTTCAGAGATAGTCAAAAAAAGATCATAGACATATCTGTTTCAAACCAAAGTAAATATGAGCATAATATGACATGGTAGTATATAACCATGCTGAAAAGGATGTGATCCATTCCAAAAGCATATCATTACTGTTAGCAATGCAGCATTATCCAAAATATCACAATACCACAAGGCATTCAAGGCATTTGTTCAAGTTTAAATGAGCTAAAACTACCTTATACCATTACTACTCTCACTATTCTATATAGTAGTGATTAGTTAGCAAAGGCATCAATCTAAAAAACATAAGAAGAAATGATTATACATGAAAATTATATTATAGAACACAAATATGTATTTGCATAGTAAATCAGTTAATATCTAAAAAGCTAAATATTTTGCAATGAAATCATTAAATAGGCATTTGATGTCCAAATTGTCAACATCTCCTCAGAAAATGATAAGAATCATCAGACTACTGAGGTATTTCTGATTCATTGTACTTTGCAAGTGACTTTTAAGGCAATCTAATTGACTAAAAGAATGAATGCTCATCTAAAGCATATTGGTGAGGTAAAAAATATATTTTGCCACCCTAGAAAATTTTTTTGTGGGGCAACCATCCTCTTGCCATCAGCAGATTGATGCCTTTGCTAGTTATTCACATCTATAGCATTGTCACAGTTAATGTCAAATCCAAAACAAGTCATTCAAAACATATAATGAGTAGTGGGATTCAGTACTCGACATAATGGTTTTCCATTGATCTCTGCTTCAATTCTAACTCTGAAGACATCATTACAGCTGGTGTTCGGCATTCACAAATGTGGTGAGCAGCTTGTAGGCTGCAGCCTATTCATGAATTCCAGCAGCATGGAGATTTCCATATACAGTAATTGTTTTTGTTTAAAGTCCTAGGCAATAAATTTAATTCCAGATGTATGGTTTGAATCTTAAGACACATTTCAAAGGTCACATGAACAGAGAAAAGATTAATTTTGTGCACCTGTGCCAAAATCCCAAATTAGCATATCTAGTAGTTTGTCACTTTAATATTAAATTATCCACATTAACTGTAATGGAATGTCTTGAACACTTGTATTATCTATGCTACAACTAATAACCACAAAGATCCAGTAGCTACTTTGCTAATGGCATTTTGATGCCAAAGGTATGATGTGATTCAGAAACAAAGCTCTGTGAGGACAGCTCCATTACTAGCTACAGGTGTGCTAAACTAATATTTTTCATAATACAGTATATTTAAAAATCAGTACGTCCTTTATCACAGGCTAGTCGTTATTACTGTAATGAGCACAGAGCAAATAAAACTTGAATTCATTTATACAGTGAAGACTGATATTAACAGGTAATTGAATTTACATATATTTGAAAGTTTACAAAACCAAATAATGTTTTTGCAATAAGGTTAGTCTACATGAAAAATAAAATTCTTATAAAAAAAAATCTGAGAAAAGGTTGTTACTTACCAATAGAAAGAGAAAACCATTCCTAACATAAATCAACCATCATCCTCTCAAGTATTTGATGAGCTACTATTAATGTTGCACACAAACTGTTAATAATAATCTAAGACAGTTCAAACTGTAAAAACTTGTGCTAATAATACCAAAAGTTATGGTTCTTTCACAATCACTAACAATACCTGTTCTAATCGAAGTAAAACAAAACCATATGAAATTTTTAGTGACTAAACAAACAGCACTGCATCTTCCATTGTATATATTATTCAAAGAGTAATCATGGAAACTTGGATGTTCAAGATTCCTCTCTGTATCCTGAATTTTCTGCTGAAATAATTTGCACATAATTTAGCTGAAGTAAAATGCAGTCCTATTTTTGAATAGCTTCATTTACAAATGTCATGCTAAAAAGAACTCTTGAAATTAATATCCCTATCACATGGTAAAATTGTCACAATGTTTTTTTTCAACAACAATTAAAACAAATCTAGCATAGATGAGAAATGCAACCAAAACTTTAAGTTTGTTTAACAATACTAAATTACACAAAAGTTTATTCAGAAAGCCTAGGCTGTGATTAGCATTCAAGACTTCATAGTGTTTCCACCTTTTCAAAATTGAAGATGCTAATCTATATCTCAAACAATAATAACCACACAAACAAATCTAGGTAGTTGGAAAGTGTACCCTGTCATGGTAATAACACATTCTAACTGCATCTGAAAAAAAGATTTGCTCTGATAATTGGTGGAGCACTAATGCAAAATAATGCTTTAGTCACTTTGGAGCTGTTCACACTAGACTGGGTTTGTACTCACCATGAAATTCTTTAGAACAGGAGATTTAAGTCATCTTCTAAAAAGACGACAAAGGATAGATACAGGACACTGAGAACCCTACCTTCATACCAGTACCAGTAATGATAAAATTCATAAATGACAAAGTACAAATTATGGGTTTAGACTTAACAAGCCTCACACAATAAAACTACAAGCAGCTCAATAGATGCATCAATAGTAAAAAATGAGATGTGAAGTCATTTATTTCAGTTACATGTAGATAGTACCCATAGTTCATACCTCATGGTATAATAAACTATTTAATGCTGGACATTTTCTTCAATGTCTTCCAAGATGCAAGGTAAACTATCAAAGTGTCAGCCATTTAAGTGCACAATAAACTAAAAAAATACATGCTAACACAGAGAATGTTAGTATTCTCTACTCTACTGAATATCACACTAAGTTATAAAACATTTATTTTACTTAATACAATCAAAAGTTTGACAGTATTTCATTCAAACATTTCACTAAATGAAATTATGTATTATTCATGAAATTTACCACATTTTCAAAAGGTTTTCGATAATTCTAGTATAACTATTAGTACTAGATGGCATTGGATTAGTAGATACAGCACTGTTACTAAGTTTTAGCATTCATGATTTTAGAAAAACACACAGGTTCAAGAAGTAGTGACAGAAATGAATAAAAACCCTATAACCTGAGCTCTTTTAAAGGTGGAGCTTTCCTCTTCAGGGGAAAACTGGGAATGTTTTAGCAGATACAGAGTAATTGACAATTATTCTATATCTGCTAACACTTAGTAACAGTACTGTGTTTACTAATGAAAGTTTCATTCAGATGTTCTTGTTAATAATACATAATCTCACTTCATCAAAATTGTCCAGTCATAAATTAAAAGCAGCTTGCAAAGCCGTAACATGTGTAACGTATGTGTATTATATGTACACGTCCAAATAAAGGTAAAGACTAAACAGTAAACGTCTTAAAATGGAATCAGTTGGACTGTGTCAACTTTTCCTCCCACTTTCACATTGTAATGTATTGTAAATGTGACAGTGAGTGACACAGTCATATATGATATTGATATACATTACTGACACTGATACGTTGTGACTTCCAAATGTTTTAATAATATTATAATAAGGCTTACTGTGAGAAAAAAAAAACTTGCCAAAAGTGTCTGTAGAATTTTGTCTCAACGAGCAACGAACTTTATTCACTCTTATTTCGAAATTAGAGTTCAAAATATCTACGTTCTGAAAAGACTACACTCTATAAATTGTTTAATTGCTCTCACTCTACAGACGCTTCCAGTGTAATAGCGATATCTGAATAACAGATGGCGTATTTTCACTTTTAGGAATAAATTCAAATAACCACCGATCAAAATGTTCTTGCTCATCAACGTATTGTGACTACTCAAATTCAAAACTAACTAGTCATACTACAGTTATCTAAAAAGGATAGATGAATTAGACAATAACACAGTTGTGGCTATTACTTGAACTTTAAATCAAAGCAAACTTTTATCGAATGAAACAAAGGTAAATACGAATTAATAAATTACCAAGTTTTGCCAACGATTACCTCATCGGTTGTGGCATCAGGTATTTATTATTGTGATACCGGAGTGAAAAAGTGTGATAAACCACCGCTAGGGGTGGCGGCAATTTAATTCTAAACTTTTCGAAACTAGATTCAGCGTCCTTATTTTTCTTGGGTACTTTCCAAGAGTCCAGTTACCTGATCATCGTGTTGTATGTAATGTGGTAGAGGGTGGTACTATGTGTTGGCTACCCTGTTAATTGGTGTGTAAATTGTTCGAAATTTCTTTTTTTGTTGTTGTTTCAGTTGAGTCTGGAAGAGAGCCTCTCAAGTAAACAATTCAACTTTCCCTGCTTTGGTGTGCGCAAGACTCTTGCAAGGAGTACAATGGTTACTTCACTGTGATGTGTGAGATAAACAGTTGTCTCTCCTGTCGGAGAAGCAGGTAATGGTCTAGGACTTCCACGCTCCTATGCTAGAACACTCATGGATGTAGGTCATGTGTGAGAGATGCGTGGCGTTAAGAACTTGTCGTTGTTTGTAATATTGTGTTTAGTGATGAATTCAAATTCGATGACGAGGAACCCACTTTGAGACTAATAATGCTTGAAGATGGCTTGAATAGGTAATGAAGAAAAACTTTAATATAAGTTTAACATAACAGCAAATGTACAACATTTCGACAAGGTTTTGTCATCATCAGGTGATGTACATTTGCTGTTATGTTA